AAACCAGTTTCCTGACTCCCTCTGGTGTAAAGGAAAGAACAGGGAGGTTGGAGTGGAAAGACAGACACCCCAGATATTTTTTAATTTTGATTATTCCAGCTGACAAGACACACCACACCCCAACCTGTATTGTGAGTTGCTTCCTTCTCCAAGCCTCAGTTTCCTTATCTGTAACATGGGGACAATGTTTATACCTACCTCCCTGGGGCTGTCGCAACAAGAAGATGAGGTCAGGTAGATGAAAGTTGTATGTCACTGTAATGTCCAGTGCCCTTTTTTTTTTTTTAAATGAGACAGAGTCTCACTCTGTCACCCAGGCTAGAGTACAGTGGTGCGATCTTGGCTCACTACAATCTCTGCCTCCCAGGTTCAAGCAATTCTCCTGCCTCAGTAGGAGTAGCTGGGACTGAAGTCATGCCTCACCACTCCGAGCTAATTTTTGTATTTTTAGTAGAGACAGTGTTTCTCCACGTTGGCCAGGCTGGCCGCAAACTGCTGATCGCAGGTAGATCCACCTGTCTCAGCCTCCCAAAGTGCTGGAATTACAGCATGAGCCACCTCACCTGGCCTCCAGTGCACTTTTTACTGCATTCTGCGAGGGAATAGTGTATGGAGTCAAACTGACCTAGGTTGGAGTTCAGCGCTATACTCCCTGGCATCGTGGCTTTGGGTAAATGTCCCTTCTCTGAGCCTCAGTATCTGCATGTGTTCATTGCGGCTATTAATAGTATCTCAACTCACAGGCTTGTTTTAGAAATTAAATAAGGATTAAATTATATAAGTGCCTGTCATACAGTAGACACTCAGCAAATGTTCTGCCCCAAACACAGACACACACACACACACACACACACACACACACACACACACAACACTTAAAACAACCTGGGTGACAAAGGGGTTTTCAGTCTGCAGGAGAAAACAGGCAGCTAATGAGCTCCCTCTCCAGTTTCCCTTCTAAGAGAGGAACTCACTGGCCAGAGCCCAGGCTGGTCACCGATGCAGAGGACAGGCAGCCAACTGCAAGCCTTCCACATGGAGTTTCAAAAAAAAGTGTGAGCACAGAGTTGCGTAACCTGTCCCTGAGACACGTGTCTGTACTGAAGTGTCTTCATCAAATATTCCCCAAAAGGAAACATGTGAGCAGGGCAGTAGGGCAGCCTGGGGGAGGAGGAAGGGAGAGTGGGAGGGATCTAGAGAACACGAGAGCAGGGGTGAGAGGAGGAAGAGAAGGAAGCATATTTAATATGCTCCTACTATGGGCCAGCCACCAGGCTTGTTCTGTCTGATATATTGTTAGATCCTTGCCATAAATCTGAGACCAGTCATTTCCGTTCCCACATTCCAAAGGAAGAAATAATAACAATAATATGAACATTGCTGATGTTGACATAGTGCCTACTGCGTATCAGGCAGTAGACTAAGCACGCGTTGGACCCTCAGGACAGCGCATAACATGGGTACCATTCTGAACCCCATTTTATAGAAGAGGAAACCAACTGAGGCTCAGAGACATGGAGTAACTTTCCCAAGGTCACCCAGCAGGACAGCAAGGCAGCAGGAGAGCAAGAATTCGAATCTAAGGGCTCTCAAGCCTATGGGCCTATGGGAGAACATTTCCCAAGGGATTTATGGGGGTGGGTCCAGAGAGTGACCTTAGTGATTGTCCTCACATGCCCACAGTGGGGCCCCAGTGTGAGAGTGACGAAAGAGACCAAGTGACCAGAAGCAATCCCTTTCCCTCCACCCAGAGGACAGTTTGTCCCAGCTTGTGACTGTTCGTCACTCTGCCTCTGACCTGAAGTTTAACATTTCATTCATAAGTTTGGAAGGAACCACAGACTTGGCAGCGTAGGAAGCACCCTCAGAGACCAGCTATTCTAGTCTAACCCCCTCATATTACAGACAGAAAAAAACCCTGAAGCCGGAATGTGACACGCCAAGGTCACAGAGCAGTTTTCTGTTAGATGAAGGGGCTGATTTAGGGTTAACTACAGATCATCTTGTGCTGTAGTTACCACAGGTGGGTGCACCTCAGAGTCACTGGGGGAGCTCTTTAAATACACAGATTTCCACACTCTGCTTCAGGAGATTTAGACTTGGATCTGCAAACAAGGACTGGAAATCTGAGTATCCAACATGTTCCTCAGGTGATTCAGAAGGCACAGGGCCATGACAGCATATGCAAGTTAGAGTCCAAGATCCCTCTTTCATTTGATAGTTTGGGATACTGGGACCCACCAGGGGACTTGCCCAAGGTCACAGAGCAAGCCAGTGGGGCTGTAGTTCAGACTCTGTGGTCGGAAGTAGACTGCTTGTAGTCACATTTCAAAATGGACCAAGTAAGCTAAACAAGGGGGTTGCCATGATTTTCCCCAGCCCTTGGTTTCCTTCTTGGATCCCAATTAAGACACAGGATGGGATACATTCCCAACGCTTGGCAAGGTGGCAATCCAAGAACTGAACTCGCAAAAGGAAAAGGAAAGGGTAGGAGGTTAGCTTACACACCCAGTGGGGTTTTCCCAGAGGTGAGCTCCGGACTCCAGGGATGACATCAGACATTCCAGCCAGCGTTAATGTTGAAAGCTACCTGTGTTTTTCATTTCAGCAGAATGGGTAGGGAGGGCCTTCCCTACTGAGAGGAGATGGGGTAGAGCGGGCCCAGCTGTGACATGAAGGAAGCAGACTCCAGGAAGAGCCACGCATTCCAGCACCTGTAAGGAAGACAGCTGCCCTGGATACTGTCAACTCCTGCAGCCTTTTTCCTAAGCCTTCCCTCCCACTTTTCCCTAATCCCTCACCCCAGGGCTAACTGAGCAGAGAGATTCACTGCTCCTTTTCCGCTTCCTGCTATTCCACCACCTGACTAACTTACTGTCTCTCTTCCTTCATTTCCCTCTCCCTCCCTCCCTTCCTCCCTTCTTGTCTTTTCTTTTATTCTAAAATGGCATCGCGGCTGGACACAGTGGCTTATGCCTGTAATCTTAACACCTTGGGAGGCCAAGGTAGGAGGACTGCTTGAGCCCAGGGTTCAAGATCAGCCTGGGAAACAGAGGGAGACCCCATCTCTACAAAAAAAAAATAAAATGAAATGAAAAACAAAAAAGCCAGGTGTGGGCTAGGTGTGGTGACTCATGCCTGTAATCCCGGCACTTTGGGAGGCTGAGGCAGGCGGATCACTTGAGGTCAGGAGTTCAGACCAGCTTGGCAAACATGGTGAAACCCTGTGTCTACTAAAAATACAAAACTTAGCTGGGCATGGTGGCACATGCCTGTAATCCCAGCTACTTAGGAGGCTGAGGCATGAGATTCACTTGAACCCAGGAGGCGGAGGTTACAGTGAGCCAAGATCACGACAGAGCAAGACTCCGTTTCAAAAAAGTCAGGCGTAGTGGCACATGCCTGTAGTCCGAGCTATTCGGGAGGCCAAGGCTTGAGCCTGGGAGTTTGACAGTGCAGTGAGCCGTGATTGCACCACTGCACACCAGGATGGGTGACAGAGTGAGACCCTGTTTCAAAGAACCAGACTAAACCAAAACAAACCAAAACAAAAAAGCATTTTGATGTTTGGAGTCAGATATCCTGAGTTTGAATCTCAGTTCTGCTCCCTGTGAGCTCTCTGACCTAGAGTCCCACCACCTCCCCCCGCAGCCTAGTTTCCTCACCTTTAAAAAGGGGATAATAGCTATATTTTCAGATTGTAAGGATTAAACGAGATCATGTAGACACTTAAGAAACGTGTTTTCTCAGAAACACTCGATCATGTGCGTAATCGGTGAACTAGAGGAATTTGAATACATATTTGTTGAACTGAATAGAGGTGCCTAAAAGAATGATTGAGCTGGAAAGCACCTAAGAAATCTTTGGGCCTTAAAAGCTCCCAAACTGGAGTCCAAGAGAATTGTTTAGGGTATTTCCAAATGATAAGGATAATCGCACACTCTCAATAAAGTCTCGAGTTTCTTTACTTTTGTCTGGAATTGTATCAGCTCAAGGTGATAACTTGACGATCACAAGCTTTTCAGAAATTCTGATTGGTGGTTACATGGCTCTTTGATAAATTATTTTAATGAGAAATTACTGGAAGGTAGATTAAATGATGGAAACATTAATCATGTCCAACTTCTCATTTCATAAACAGGGAAGCTGAGGTTTAAAGAAGGAAGTGGCTTGCTGGTCACACCGGGTGGCATAGCTGGCTCTAAAACACAGATTCTTTTCCTAGAACCAGTTACTTCCCTTCTTTCCACTCTAGAGAGGGGGAACCCAGGAAGTTTAGGGCTTTTGTTCCGCTGGAGTAGGAATAACTGAGTCATCGATTTGCTGTTGCTTTCTCTGTTCTTGACTCATTCAGCAAATATTTACTGACTGTCCACTCTTCGGATTTGGAGAATAAATAAAATAGTCATGGCAGCAGAGAGAGTCAGGATTTACCCTCAGGTGCGACTTCACAACCTGTGCTTTTTTTCCACTGGACACCCACATTTTAAAACACCCACTACTCTGCCTTCTAATATAGTTCCACTGTGTCTCAGCGCAGAGACTGTCTTATATGCGCATGTTCTAGCCTTCCTGCCACCCATTAGTACGAAATCAATGTTGTGAGTGTTGGGGAAACACCTGAATTTTCATCCTGACTTTGCCACTAACTGTGTCTTTGAGCCAGTATGTTGCTTTCCTTCTCTGGCCCTTAGCTTAACTCTCTGTATAGTGGAAATAGTGGCAAACTCCTCTGTGGAGGAGCTTGCAGGTTCATTTCAAGTTATCAGACTCTAGGGGAAAACACTGAGAATCTAGGCTGAAAATGGAGACATCGTTTATCACCTCGTTAATTCCCAAACATCGTCACCGTGTCCTACCCAACCCCACCTCCCTCGCCCCTAGTCGCCCTCCTTTGAAAAGAAATTTCCCTGTAGAGGGCGCGCAAGCTCTGCGGCTTTGCTTTCTCACTTCCGTTCGTCTTCACTCTTCTTTCTGCGCATGTGCTCCGTTCGCTAGCTGGCTGCCGGTACCAAGTCCCCGCGGTGCAGGCAAAGGTTGAACTCACTACGCCTGCGCAACTTTAGCCCCGCCCCCTCCGCTGTTTTCCCCGGAAACGCTTCTTTCCTACGTAGCCGCTCCCGCCGCTGCGGTTGCTGGCGTTTTGCCTCTCTAGGCCGGCAGCGCCTCTCCTCCATGGTCCTGTCTGTCAGCGCTGTTTTGGTAGCCCACCGGTGAGGCCGGGCCATACTAGGGGACTTCGATCGTCGTCTGTCACTGGTGAGTAGACCCCAGAGCAGCTCGTGTACGGGCGGGGGCCGCGCAGCCGGAATGGGCTGGATTTCCCCTTACTCTGAGAATGGGTCTGTCCATCCCGCCTTCCCCCCACCTCTTGGAATGGGCTCACCCCTCGGTCCCAGTCCCTCCTCCCGGGCGGGGCGACGTTGCCATGGCGACGGGCCGCCGGCTGAGGCCCGGCTCGTGTCCCTGCAGGGGATGGCGGGCCAGTTCCGCAGCTACGTGTGGGACCCGCTGCTGATCCTGTCGCAGATCGTCCTCATGCAGACTGTGTATTACGGCTCGCTGGGCCTGTGGCTGGCGCTGGTGGACGGGCTAGTGCGAAGCACCCCCTCGTTGGACCAGATGTTCGACGCGGAGGTAGGGTCCCCGGGCTGGCGCGGGTGGGGTCTCGGCCTCCCCGAACAGGCTTTGTGGTCCAGCATTACTGGGCTGTGGATCTGGCTAGGCCACCTTCTTGCTTTATAGCCCTGGAAAAGGGATTTCACCTTTCTGAGTCGCGGCTGCCTCATCTATAGACTGGAATGACAACAGAGGCTGATCGGTACAAAGGAAAGGGCCTGATGTTAACACAATAAATACAAATGCCTTCCAGGCAACTCTGAGACATTTCCGTTCTGAGACTGGGAAAGTGACTTGACTTCTCTGAGCTAACTTCTCTGAGCTAGGTGCTCAGGTGCCACACCGGAGAGGGGCGGATAAAAGAGCATTCATGCGGGTACAGTGGAAACAGCCTGGACTTTGGGGTCAGACAAGCCTCCTTTAAGTTCTACTTACTAGTTGTGTGACCTGGGGCAAATATCACCTCTGTGGGCTTGTTTTTCTGTCTTCAAAACCATGAGACTAGTTACAGAGAGGTGGACTGCGATATAAAGAGCATGTGCTTTCGATTCAGAAAAGCAAGGGTTCAGTCTAGCTAAACATATACTACTAGCTGTGGGACCTTGGACAAGTTGCTTTCCCTTTCTGAGTCTTTTCTGAAAAGTGGGCAGAGTACTCCTGCCATGTCTCCCTCAACAAAATGTTACAAGGCCCAGAGGGGTTTAGGACTAAGAAAGTACTTTGTAAAATGTAGAGAAGGCCTGTAAGTTGTTGCATCTAAAAGGCAGTTGTAGGCTGGGTGGCTCACGCATGTAACCCCAGCACTTTGGGAGGCCAAGGTGGACGGATCACGAGGTCAGGAGATCGAGACCATCCTGGCTAACATGGTGAAACCCCATCTCTACTAAAAATACAAAAATTAACCAGGCATGGTTGTGTGTTCCTGCAATCCCAGGGCTGAGGCAGGAGAATTAGTTGAACCTGGGAGGCAGAGGTTGCAGTGAGCTGAGATCGCACCACTGCACTCCAGCCTGGGCAATAGAGTGAAACTCCATCTGAAAAAAAAAAAAAAAGAAAATGCAGCTGTGGTGCGTGGTGATGAGCACAGTTCTTAGAGCCAGGAGACCTGGGTTGGAGTCCTTGCCCCTGCTGCTTTTTCTCTATGTAGCCCTTGGGCAAGTTATTATCCAAAAAGAGGTAAGAATAAAAAGAAGAATAGCTTTGTGAGGTTTTTGTAGGCATAATATGAGATTATGGACGTCAAAGACCTTTCTTTGCCAGCTGACAGTGTGGTGCGGATGTTTGGCATTTGATAATGTGTTAGAGGAGGTTGCATACCCACTGTGTGCCTAGTCATGATCTTTGAGGAGCTTCCATCCTCCTGGGAAGAGCTGTGGGAATGCTGAGCTTTATTGAAGAGCCATCTGATGCACACAACCTGAGTTCTAGACTAGGGATCAGCAAACCTTTCCTTAGAGAGTAAAGTAGTAAGGATTTTAGGTCACGGATTACTCAGCTCTGCCATGGTAGCACAGAAACTGCTATAGATAAATATGTAAGTGAATAGGTATGGCTGTGTTTCAATAAAACTTTATGTACAGGAGCAGATACCTGGCCTATGGAGCCATAGTCAGCTGAGTGCTCTTCTAAACTTTACTCTTGGTGTTTTGGGCAACTTAACTTGCCTTAGCTTTTACGTCCTCCTTTGTAAAATGAGAATAATAACCCCCTTCCACCTGCTGTGAGAAACAAATGAAATTCCATAATGGGTGTCTATGAAAGCACCTAGTTGGAAATAGGCTGCTGTGCAGATGAAGGGAGGTATTATCTTCTGTGCTCTGGGAAGAATGCTGGTTTCTTAGGAGGCTTGCTGCGATCCTGGAGCCTGGGCTCTGCCAAGTCCCTTCTCCAGCATGTTTCCATTTGTGATTCCCCCTCAGATCCTGGGCTTTTCCACCCCTCCAGGCCGGCTCTCCATGATGTCCTTCATCCTCAACGCCCTCACCTGGTGAGTATCACCAGTTTTGCTATCCAGCTTTTGGGTTCTTAGCACTGGGACTAACTTCCTAACTCTGGACGTGAGACAGGCTGGCACTTGTTTCTGGGGAGTTGTGGAGTAAAGTGGGTGACAGAGGCCAGTGGTGGGACCGGCTTTATCATGGGTCTTTTTCCGTTGCTATTTTGACTTATCTGGAAAGCTCTTCTGTCACTATGTTTGTGCTGCCTGCAAGACAACTTCCATCTCAGATCGCTTCCCCGACGTGGAGTGAGGTGAGGAAAGGATTCCACTGAGAGGCAGGAGAACTGGGTCCTGTTCTTGGTTTGCGTGCCATTGACCAAGTTCCTTGCCATGGGCTTCAGGCTCCTCTTTTGTCCATGAGGGGTTGGACTGGGTGATGTCTAAGGTCGCATGTAACCACTGCCTGTCTCTTAAGAGGCAGTTTAGCATAGTGATCAAGGTCTCAGGCTCTGGAGGCAGACTCATTTGGCTTTGAACCTCGGCTTTACCACTAGTCTAGTGACTTTGGGCAAGTTAATCTACCACAGTTTCCTCATCAGTAAAATGGGGCTAATAATATTACCTGCCTCATAGTTGTAAGGATTAAATAAGTTAATTCACAAGAAGGACTTAGAACAATGCCTTGCACGTTATTATGATTCTTGTCCTTTTACTGGAGATTGAAAACTGATGGGCTGACTTTGACCTAAATTTGTCTTCCAGATAGGTTTTGTTTGGCTTACATAGATGTCAGCCCACACATGGTGTTTAAAACGTTTTTTTTCACTTAGTTGAAAATCAGGCTATTTTATATAAAAATCCAGATTTCTGGCTTCTCTTGACTAATGGAATGACTGATTGATTCCAGGCCAACCTTCTAGCATGACAAGATTTGCCTAGATGCAAGTAGCTACTGCCCCCACTTTAGCTAGACATGTGCGCTTCAGGGTGTCACAATTCCCACCAGTTCCTAGGATCCCCTAGTGACAATTGCCTTCGATCATCAAGCTTATGCCTAGTCAGCTTCGCTCTCGACATTACCCGCCAGGTTCTTCTAGGCATCTGATACCATAACCCTTGCTTCACACTTATCTTGTCACTTCTGACCACTGTGCTGCCATCCTAATTGTCCCCACCCTCCCAAATAACCTAAGGCCAGGACAACCCAGTGACAACTCACTGCTGTCCTCTCCCCACAGTGCCCTGGGCTTGCTGTACTTCATCCGGCGAGGGAAGCAGTGTCTGGATTTCACTGTCACTGTCCATTTCTTTCACCTCCTGGGCTGCTGGTTCTACAGCTCCCGTTTCCCCTCGGCGCTGACCTGGTGGCTGGTCCAAGCCGTGTGCATTGCACTCATGGCTGTCATCGGGGAGTACCTGTGCATGCGGACGGAGCTCAAGGAGATCCCCCTCAACTCAGCCCCTAAATCCAATGTCTAGAATCGGGCCCTTTGGACATCCTGCTGGCACTTGGGCCCCTCAACACCTTGGGCTGCTCAGACCCTCCAGATGAGGTCCAGCCCAGATCTGAGAGGAACCCTGGAAATGTGAAGTCTCTGTTGGTGTGGGAGAGATAGAGGGCCTGTCAAAGAAGGCAGGTAGCAGTCAGCTTGACAGCTGCAAGAATGGCCTCTGTCTGCTGAAGCCTTGGTATCTGAGAGGTCAGGAAGGGGACCTCTTTGAGGGTATTAACAGAATTGGAACCGTGCCACTCTTGAGCCACAATACCTGTCACCAGCCTGTTGTTTTAAGAGAGAAAAGAAATCAAGGATATCTGATTGGAGCAAACCACTTCTTTAGTTATCTGTCTTATCTCCGTGGGACAGCTGTTACCTTTGCAGTGCTGCCGAATCACAGCAGTTCTGTTTGGAGAAACACTTGGTTTCCGGATCCAGAGCCACAGAAAGAAATGTAGGTGTCAAGTATTAGGCTGTTGTCAGGCAGAGGATGACAGATGGAGGCATTAAGCACAAGGAAAATGCACAACCTGTGCCCTGTTACACGCACGTGTGTGTGTACCCAAGAACCTATGACTTTCTTCCAATTCCTTCTGCCAGGTCCCCATCCTGCTGCCAGCTCTCAACATAGCAGGCCATAGGACCCAGAGAAGAATCCCAGCATCGCTCAAAGTCTAACCTTCATCATAAAGACACTGCCTGTCTTCTAGGAATGACCAGGCACCCAGCTCCCACTGGACTCCAGTTCTTTTCCCTGCCTTATTTAGAATTCTGTGGCGGGAAGGGTATGATGGGTTCCCGGAGACAAGAAGCCCAACCTTCTGGCCTGGGCTGTGCTGATAGTGCTGAGGTAGATGGGAATTTGCTGCTAAGATTTTTCTTTGGGGTGGAGTTTCCTCTGTGAGGGGCTTGCAGCTGTCGTTCCTGTGTATTTAAATACAGTATTTTCCACGGTTCTGCCTGTATTTACTTTGTAATGCCACAGTTGAGATTGAGAGAGATCAGTGCAGTCAGGCAAGGAAACTTGAAAGAATGATTAGGGCACCTTCTCCCTTTCCTGGACCCCGGAGTCATTCCTCCATTCGGTTAAAATACTCAGTGCAGGGAACTCTTGCATCCTGTCTTCTCCACTTGTAGCCACCCCTATTATGCCTCAAATGAACCGCCTGTTACTTGGGTTCCCTTTCCCACTTGCTAGTGATTTCTGAACATGTTCAATGGAGCGCACAATCTAGACCCACTTCTGCATCGAAACCTTCACTATTCATACTCTTTGGGTTCTTCAGAACCTTCCCAAGAAAGCTGTCAGTTTTCAGCTCTCAGTGTTATGGTAGCACAGATGAGTTTTGCTGTCTCCCTGAGAAGCCCATCTGACCTCCTGGCTCTCAGCCCTACAGAGGAGGGAGTTGATGCCAACAGGATGAAGGTTTAGGGGTAAACATTCCTGGGAAGAGACTGGGAATGTTTTAGGGTGAGGCACCTCGGTAACTCATGGTGCCTTGTTGGAAGGAAGCTGCTTGTTAATGGAGCACAGTAATCCTGGCTGCAGGGTCTAGGTAGGAGGTAAGACCAGCTGGGATGACCTTCCCTGGGTCGATCGATTTCCCTCCAGACACCACAAACTCGACAGGCACATGACTGACTTTGAAAGAACACACATCATGTGGCTGCTGTCACCCTTGACCAGCTGTGGTGGTGGTTACTCCATCTGTGGTTGGAGCACCTCTTTGAGATTCACTTCAGGGTCTTGTGCCTATTTTTCTGCATATCTTCTGTGATGACAAATCTCTGTCCCCTGAGTGTTAACTTGAGTTTTAGAAAGGGCCAAAAGTCACACGATTCAGATGAGTTGCATGATAGTTGGGGATCCAAAATATTTGACCTTAATGAGATTCTTATGATTTCTAAAGTAACAGTAAGAGCAGTTTTTAGAGTTGAGCTCCAGAGAGGGTAGGGCAATGGCAGTGACATGCTTGTCAGTTTAATAATATATAACATCTATTGAGTGCTTAGGAGGTGACCAGCAGTGTGGGCTGAGTGCTTTATGTCTCTTTTCTCAATCTTCACAAGAACCCTCTGAAGTAAGAAGTAAGAAGATCATCTATATCTTACAGATAAGGGAACTGTAAGGAACTTACCCAAGGTGACTTTTTGGGAGCTGGCAGAGGCAGGTAGTGATATTAATAAGCTCATTTTGGAGATGTCAAGAGTTAGGGATGTGTAAGTTCTGACTGGTTAAACAGTCTGGTTAAATATCACCTTACATCTTCTTGTCCTGCCGTATTGTTTTAAATACCAAGGATGAACAGTATGTTATAAACATTACTAGCTTTCTAAGAAAAGCAATATGCAGTACATTAAATATAGCCAGAGATTTCTTTTTCTTTTTTTTTGAGACAGGGTCTCACTTTGTCACCCAGGCTGGAGTGCAGTGGTGTGATCTTGGCTTGCTGTAGCCGCAACCTCCGAGGCTCAAGTGATCTTCCTGCCCCAGCACCCCCCAGTAGCTGGGACTATACACACATGTTACCATGCGTGGCTAATTTTTTTTTTTAGAGACAGGGCAGGCTTTGTCACTTTGCCAGGGCTGGTCTTGAACTCCTGGGCTCAAGCGATCCGCCTGCCTTGGTCTCCCGAAGTGCTGGGATAACACATGTGAGCCACGAAGCCCAACTGGCCTTTTTTTTCTTTTTTTTTGAGACTGTGTTTCTCTCCAACTTCATCACCCAGACTGGAGTGCAGTGGCTAGATCTCGGCTCACTGCAACCTCTGCCTCCTGGATTAAAGTAATTCTCATACTTCAGCCTCCCAAGTAGCTGGAATTACGGGCACGCAGCACCGTCCTTGGCTAATTTTTGTATCTTGCATAGAGACGGGGTTTCATTATGTTAGCCAGGCTGCTCTCAAAAGTCCTTGCCTCTCAAGTGATCCACCCACCTCAGCCTCCCAAAGTGCTGGGATTATAGACATGAGCCACTGTGCCTGGTGTTGGCCACAGATTTTCAAGTGATCCTAGGAATGTGGGAAATCTATTTTCAAAGGATAAAGGATGGTACCTAGGGAAGAGAGCTACTTCTAGCCCTCTGCTGAGTTAGCATATCCCTTAACTATCCAGGTGTCTGAAGTTGACCTCCCTTTATCCCACCCACCACCTGAACTCGGACCATTCAGAGAGAGAAGTGGAGACTCCTGCATAGCTGGTGCTCAGAATAGTTTATAATTCTGAAAGGAGGACAGGAAAGGAGAAAGCGATGTCTGGCTCAGAGGGTACTTCTAACCCCTCACTCTAGGCAGAGGCAACCCTGTACCTATGGGAGTGCCAAATGGGAGCCAAGATGGCAGCCAGCAGACATCAGTGCATAGAATGGGAAGCTCCAGGCCCCTCAACATCTTGGAGGGTACACAGCTCACACAGGATCCCCTGGACAGGAATCCTCTTGGACTCCTTCCTCAGCAACTCCCAGGTCCAAGTAGCTTCCTTCTGCCAGTCCCAGAAGGCAGGCAGTGCACAGGTGTAGAACACCTCCTTGTACCGGCAGCCCAGGGACCAGACAGTCTCAGCAGCAGGGCCTCTGGGAACCTACGGCAGGAGGAATAGGGATAGAATCGAGGTAGAGGAGAACTCCTCTGTGGAGAGATGAAAACCCCCTGTCTTAAGGTTTTCTGTTGGAAAGTAATAAGAGGTGATAGAAACAGCATTGAGGCAGGAAGAAATAGAGGGAGCTGAGGGTTTGAATCCCTGCCCTACCACTGCCTGGGCAAGTCACAGTCATAGAGGTCCAATTCTGGAAGTCTTTAGAGAGTTGCAGGGAGTGGAAAGTTCCTGGAGTCGCATTACTAGCTGTAAGATCTTGGGTAAGCTCTGTTATCTCCCCTACCTAGGTTTCCTCATATGTAAAGTGATGGTCATAATGTACATACTTCCCTGGGTTTGGTTTTGTTTTGTTTTTTCTGGTGGGGCAACACTTAATTCCATAAAATGGAAAAGTGTTCCTTCCTTGGTTTTATTGTGAAGATGCAATGAGATGTCATGTGTAAAGCACTAGCGTAGCACCTGGCACGTAGGAAATGATCCATAATTCTAAGCAATTATTAAGCTACCGCCCCCCTATCCATTTTACAGAGGAAGAGGCACCTTTCTTCTGAACCTTGTGTTTTCAAATGTTAATTGGGGGATAGGCTTGCCAGTCCTCTAGGTACCACGACCAAGTATTGAGTTCATGTCTGCTAGATTCTGCAAAGTGATTTAGGTGTCTTCTAAGTCCAATAAGGTAAGCACCACTATTTCCCCCATTTTGCAGAAAAAGAGATTGGGGGTAAAATGTTTCCCCACTACCGAGTTGACAAGAAGCTAGGCCTGTCTGCCTCAAAAGCCTCATCCTCTTTCCACCGTCCAGTTATGTTTATGTGTGATCCAGACAATTGTGAGAGGGACACTCTTGGGGATCTACATGCCGTGTTAGCAGAAGGTTGTGAATATAAACATACGTTTGGCTTGTTAACAAGCAGCTAGTTCCTTCAAGGTGGGTAGTGAGGTAGCTGCTGATAAGTGAGAAATGGAGCCAGGACTAGCCACAGTGTTTTATTATAATGGCAAAGGGCCAGGTGGGTGGCGTGGGAAAAGGCCAAACATCTGTTCAGTGCTGCACAAACTGACTTCTCCTACATCAAGCTTGATTTGCTTAAAACCCCCTGAAACACATCACTATCACTATTTGATAAACATGAAATAGGCTCGGAGAGGTCATGTGACTTCTGAAAAGTCACTCAATATAAAATCAGATTCAAACACTAATTTTTTCCCAGTTAACTGTTAGGCAGCCATATCTGGGGTGGCATCGTCCCCAGATCGGTGTTACCGGGCCCAGAAGAGGAGCCTTGGATTGAAGTCATTAAACAAAAGGACAGTGGTAGTGAGGATACCCCAGTTGTGAAATTGCGGGAGGTGAGTGGCCAAAGGCCTGAGTGCTCAGGCAGGTGCTATGAGGTGGAAGGAGTGTACTGCTGGGACTCACTCACTCCCGGGCCTGCCCCTTGCTGCCGTGGCCATGCCGGGTCTCTACCTTCACACACAGCCCTCCCCTCTACTTGGTGGCATTCCCAGTGGGCAACTGGAGCCCAACTCCAGCTCTCTGGAGCAAAGTGGAAGTTGCCAGTCTTACCCAGGCCCACCTCAATCCAGCCTCCACTTGGGGCTCCCTGGGCGGACTCCCATGAAGGCTAGTGCAAGGGGTCTCCCCAGAAAGTCAGATTCTCTAGTTGGGAGGGCACTGTCTTGACCGCCTGCTGATAGTGCGCTTAGGACAGAAGTTCAGGCAAAGGTTGATGGAATGGAAGACTGAGTAGATTATTTTCCTTTTTTTTTCTTTTTTTTTGAGATGGAGTCTTGCTCTGTAGCCCAGGCTGGAGTGCAGTGCCACAATCTTGGCTCACTGCAACCTCCGCCTCCTGAGTTCAAGGGATTCTGCTGCCTCAGCCTCCTGAGTAGCTGGGACTACAGGCCTAAACCACTATGCCCACCAGGCTAATTTTTGTATTTTTAGTAGGGATGGGGTTTCATCATGTTGACCAGGATGGTCTCAATCTCCTGACCTCATGATCCACCTAAAGTGCTGGGATTACAGGTGTGATCCACCAGGCCTGGCCGTGGAAATTATTTTCAAAACTTGATGGAATTGAAGAAACCCAGCAAGGGAACTGCAATGGATACTGCTCAGGAAATGGGCTGGAGTGCAAGCTGGGTGGGAAGACCGCTGGAAGTGGAGGTTATTGGGGTGGGTGCTGCATGGGAAGTGGCGGGGTGGTGGAGGTGAGGCACCCTAGGTGAGCTCCAGGCAGATTGTGCTGGAAAGGGGACCTCGGGAGCGGGCTGCAGGGGTACCCAGCCTCCTTGAGAGCAGCCACTATGCGGTGCTAAGCAGTCCCCACACCGTGGCTCCACCCAGCGGCTTCTGATGCCCAGTCTTGGTGCCCAGTGGAGTGGTTGGGAGGAGCGTGCGAGTGAGCGGGTTAGGGGGGAGTCCATCCAATCGTTCTCCCTCTCTCCCAAACTGAAGCTCTGTCTTCATCGCTGCTCTGACCCCCAACCCTGGAGAGCTCTGCTCCCCTCAGTGGCTCCACTGCTCTCCCGAGGGCGCCCACACCACTCAGCCTGCTTCCGGGGAATATGGAGGTCTTGGTCCCAAGAAAACTCGGTTCCCTCGGGCTTTCTCTCCCCACGACGTGGTTAGGGTCCTGTGACTCCTACTGACAGAGGATGACCCCGGCCAGATGCGGTCGACCAGGGCTTGAGGTTGAAGCTTCGGATTGAGGGTGGACCTGCCATGTCACACTGGAGCAGCAGGGATGCAGTACCAGCACCCCCGCCTGACCCGGTGCCTTCTGTGATCTGTGACCAAGGCAGGACACATTTGGAGGTGCAGCTGATGTCCACTTTGACCTCCACTTTTTGACACTAGCTGCAATGCAATCAGTTTTTGACCATCAATTTTGGACAGTCAGGTCGCAGTGCATGCGCATGACCCACAGGATGCTGGGGCTACTCCACCTGCTTCGCGACTTCTGAGCAGGCTCTCATTTCGCCTTCTCCCTTTCTTGGGAAAATGGAATGGGGAGCAACCAGGAGACCTAGTTTAGAGCCCTTGCTTCTGCCGCTTTCTAGCTGAATGCGCCTGAAGTTACTTTCTGCCCCACCACCGCGGTTTCCTCTTGCGGGCTCACGTGGCGATTGTGAGGCACCTCGTACCCAGGAAGCACAGGAGCTGACTTCATAGAGCGCGCCACTCAGGAGACCAGCTCGTGGAGTTGGGGGAGGGGTGCAGCTCCTTGGATTCTTTGGGTCTAGACTGAGTTTAGATGCCTCGGGGTGGGGGTGGCGGTGGGGGTGGGGGTGGGGGTGGGGAAAGCCCGAAGCCGTGACACAGGCTCTCTTCCACCTCTACCGAAGGCCTGTTTCCTTCATCGTTCCCAGCCCCAAACAAGCAGGCAGAGTAAGCAGTATTAGTCTTAGGTGCCATATGGAAGATTTTATTTGTAGACTCGTGAATTTCCCCACTCATCCTTCCCCTTCAGCTGATTGTGCGATCTCCACCCTCTATTCGCACCTCTGGCTCCCATCCAGGTCACATCACCTGCCAGCAGAGACCTCGGTGTTAGGCGCTAAGGCTGTCCCCAGGGGGCGCTGGTCGTTTGGGGAGCGGCCGCAGGGACAAGGGTGCTGTGGAAATGGGTTGGAAATGGCTTTGCTAAAAAAGGAAAGCCTCCCTTTAAGCTAGATGCGGTGGGCACTCACCCCTTTCCTTTCATGGGATTTTAATTCTCCCATGAAAGGGCTGGAGTATTTTCTTCTTGTTTTGCTAAGGAACTTTCCGGTCAAAGTAAGTCTCTTTTTTTTAGACAGGGCCTCGCTTTGTTGCCCAGGGTAGAGTGCAGTGGCAAAGTCACAGCTCACTGCAGCCTTGACCTCCTGGGCTCAAGCCATCCTCTGAACTCAGCCTCCCAAGTAGCTGACACTACAAGTGCAAGCCACCAACCACATTGGGCTAATTTTTAGATTTTTTTTATAGAGACAGTGTCTCAGTATGTTGCCCAGGCTGGTCTTGAACTGCTGGCCTCAAGCAGTCTTCCTGCCTTGACCTCCCAAAGTGCTGGGATTACAGGCGTGAGCCACCATGCCTAGCATGTTCACAGTAAATCTTATTTGAGGCATGAATACATCAAACATATATGGAGAGTTGAATTGGTCTAAGAGGGAATGGGATGCAGCAAAGCCCTATTTGCCCACCTCCCTCCTCCCACATTTGGAAATCCTTAAACCAGCTTACTTAGGCCTCTGACTGTGAGATTCAGAGCCACAGCCATTTCCACCCCTGCTAGGGCCTTCAGGCAATGAGATGGCTAACTTTAGTACCCACGCATCCAGTGCCACTCCTTCCCCAGATCCCCTAGCTGTATCCTGGGAGGCCTCAGCCTAGCCACTAGCCTGCTATATGATGTTAGTCTAAGGCTGCCCCCACTGGACAAGGTTGGTCTAAGGCTTCCCCCTCTGGGGCCCAGCTCTGGGCCTGGCTTGGGGCTTGCATCTCACCTGGCCTGGCAGTGGTGTTGTGACACCCACCTTGTATGGACGCCACATAGGCATTTCAAGTGATGCGGAGCAGAAGCGGGTGCAGCGACGCTTGACCCAACGCAGGGTGGAGGGTCTGCACATCACCCGGGGCGCTGGGAGGTGGATTCGTGTGGGCAGCCCCTCAAACCAGATCCACTGGTCGGCCACATCCAGCTGCTTCCTATCCCCCATGGGAGTTCTGTGGTGCTGGGGCTTAATGACGATGACTCGGAGGCCCTCAGTAAGTGGTTGCCTCCCCTGGGCTCCAGGGTTCAAGCCTTGACCCCTCGGTGTCCCTGGAACCTCAGGCTCTACCTGCTTTTCTTTCAATGGCATTGCTGCCAATGACGTTTTTGCCTTGTTCCTCATCCCTGACTGCACCTGGGGCTTCCACTCCTTGTCCTCTTTTTTCTTAGAGTCCCCTGTGGACTCTAATCTCTTGGACCTGAGCTCCTTCTTGGAGCACGCGATCTCCTGGAACTCTTCATTATTTTGTTGCACTTTATTGCAGGCACTGTTTTCCCTGGCAGGGAGAAGAAAGGTGGTCAGCAGAGCAGGACTGAGGCCCTGGTCCTGACCCCCTAGCCTTGCACTGAGACAGTTGCTATGTAGCCAGCTCAGGGGAGCCTGTTAAAAAAGCTAGAGGGGCCTGCCAAGAAACTTCCCTACTGCCCAGAGGCCTTGTGCTGGTGTGAGGGGATGTGATAAGCATTGGCAGAAGGGATGTGAGAGTCTGGGAAGGTGAAGCCATGACTGGTAGTTAAGGCCCCTAGGAATGGATATTGTCTACATCATCTGCCACTAGATCAGGGTTCTGTCTCTCTGGGCTTCAGCTGGGAGGGTGAAAAGTCCAGTAGTTTTCCTAAATTGTGCTCCAAGAAACCTTAGCGTTCTGAGGAGGTGTCTCAGTGTCAACCCGAGACCCACTGGGGGCAAGATGAGGGCAGGATACCTTCCCCCTGCCCAGAGCAACACAATTGCGGCTTGGGGACAGATATTTGGACAGAGGTTTTACTGTTTTAATAAAGTTGGAAAACTGTTCAAGACAAGCCTGGGTGACATGGTGAGACCCTGTCTCCATACAAAAAAAAAAATTTTAAGTTGGAAAATGTGGGGCTGATCCTTCTAGCTCTGTGTTTCCTGATTGTCCGCAGCTAGAAGCCAAATCAGAAAGAGGAGAGCAGAGAGGTGGCCTTGACAGAAATATTAAATGCTGAGTCTTTCCCAAAGAGTGTCTGTAACAGACTGGGCCCCCTGCAAACCCTCCAGTGGCAACACCGTCCTAGCCAAGGGTGTGGAGAGATACGAGGCCTTGGGCTGCAGATAATGGCAATACTGTGATGACAATAATGGCACCTGCTGATTGAGAGCCTGCTCTATGCCAGACTCGGGATCCTTACAACAGTTCTGTGAAGTAGGAGGCAGTGCAGCAGAGTGGCTTACAGAGCACAGATTCTGATTCTGCCTCTTACTGCCTATGTGATTTGGGCAAGATGTTTACCCTCTCAGAGCCTTTGCTTCCTCATCTGTAAAAACTAGGATAATTCTGTCTACCTAACAGGATTGCTGTGAAGAATAAACTAAATGGGAAACTTCTTAAGTGCTTAGCACGGTAGATGGCATTTAACAGGCACTAATCAATGTTAGCTTTCTTAATATCCTCATGTGACTTATGAGGAAATAGTTTGAACTTGTCTCGGAGGCATAGTAAAAAAATAAAAAGAAATCCATAAAGAAACTGAGCCTCACCAAGACTAATTAATCCTCAGATTTCAGGGGGCAGTCTGCAGGTGACTTTCTGGGTTATATTGACCTGCAAGAGGAGGAGAAGGAGTGACCTGTCTCAGTGCTCCAGGGTGAAGTGAGGGCTACAATTGGATGATTACAGCCATTATTACTGCCACAGCCCTGACATCAGACAGGAATAGCTTCAAATCCTAGCTCTGCTGCTTGTTAGTTGAGTTAACTGAGTGAGACAAATCATTTCATCTCTTGAACCTCAGCTCTCCAGCAGTAGAATAGAGTTAATAAATACCTCTCTCACAGAGCCGTTGTGAAAATGAGACTAAATTCCTTAGCACAGTGCCTATTCCCAGTAAGACGGCATTTGGGTCCATTGTGGGGGCCATGGGTGGCCCACGCTTACCCAGAGGAAATGCGGAGGATCTTTGGAACACTGAGCAGTGAATTCCAACACCTTTTGGCCAGGTTATGCAGTTCTTGGATCCGGCGGTTCGAGCTTTTGAGTAGCTTCAAGAGTGACAAGTTTTTTAACACCTGTCAGGGTCAAGAAACCAGATAAATAGAAGCTTCAGCTCTCCTGGACAGCCTCCCTCTCCCCTACCTGCCTCTGGCTCCGCTCAGCCGAGGTCTGGCCTGCTGGCTCCTGTGGGCTGAGTGGCCACTCAGCCTGGCAACCAGGGCAGCGCTGCATGAGTATATGAGCTCCCCCAAGCTGGCCAAAATGGGGCGTCTCACCATTCTCAGACGGTTCCTCTCAATTACTTTGCTCACAGGCTGCTCTGTCTTGTCCTGTGGTTTCTCATCTTGCATCTGAGGGACAGAAGGTAAGAGAGAGACATAAACCCAGAAGAATCAGCAAAGGCATGGTGTCTCATGCCTGTAATCTGAGCACTTTGGGAGGCTGAGGTGGGTGGATTGTTTGAGGTCAGGAGTTCGAGACCAGCCTGGCCAACATGGTTGAAACCTCAGCGCTATTAAAAAAAATACAAAAATTAGCTAGGTGTGGTGGCATATGCCTGTAGTCCCAGCTACTCAGGAGGGTAAGGCAGGAGAATCGTTTGAACCCAGGAGATGAAGGCTATAGTCAGCTGAGATCTTGCCACTGCACTCCAGCCTGGGTGTCAGAGTGAGACACTAGAGGAATCCTCCTGAACCCCTCCATGTGTCTCTCCATTTGACTGAGCATGGTTCGACCAATCCTAGGCTGGGATTTTTGTCATCTTGGTCTGGGGACAGAACTGGGAGACCATTTTAACTCTCCTGACCTCTCTTCACCCTTCACCATTCACCTTTCCCTTTTCTCCCATGCTGGAAAACCCCTGTCCTTGGCATGGTGGACTCTTTGTGAAGGTCCCCTCTAGGGACTCACCCCCCCCAGGCTCTAGTCCCAAGTCTGACCTTGGAAATCCTGCTATTCTTGGGCCTCTTCTTTGCGGATGGACTCATCCTGGGGCTCTGAGACCTCAGAGGTGAATGGAGCAAGACCACTGCCAGGCACCCACCCTGCTCCTCTCAGTTCAGCCAGCACTCAGGCTGGGCATCAGATGGTGGTGCTGTCTCTGTACCACCTGTAGCTGTGACATCACTGAAATGTGACAGCAGCAGGGCTGGGTCTCCAAGGAGTGTACATGGCAGAGGTGAGGGATAAAGGGTGAGAAAGAAATACAGACAGTAGGTGACAGACAGCTGTGTACATTGTCACAACTTCCCTGTGAGGTAAGAGGATTATCTCCTCTTTTTAAATAAGGAAGCCAAGGTTCAAAGAGGTTGAATAATTTACTCAAGGCCCCACTAGATCTAGCCCAGCCAGATCATAGTGGGCTGGAAACCTAACCAAGGTCCAATAGTCAACCTGTGAAACCAGTGATTCCCAAACCATGCTCATCCATTCAATCATGTTGCCTGTTTTGACTGGCTGCCTGCTATATGCCAGGTGCTTTTTCTAAGTGCTAGAATAACATGAAATTCTTGCCCTCAAGCTTACATTCTACTGGAGGGGAAACTGTGTGTGCTTGTAAATGTTTGATAATGGATTTTCTAAAGCAAAATGTATGTGTGTGTATTATAAATTTTACTGATAGAAATAAATAATAAAATTCTATGATACTCTTTTTTTTTTTTTTTTTTTTTTGTAACTTCCATTAGTGAGTTGCTTCTTCCAGTATGCTTTTCTTGGATTTTGACTAACCCTTCTATTTATAGCCAACCTATGGTTGTGATGGATAAAGAAGTATAATACCAACATTAATGCTGGTATTTTCATTTACACTAAACAGTAAGAAGGTGAAAAAGTGAAACAACAGAGATACTGAAATCTAACTCATTTATCAATGACTTGATTGACCTATTTGCTGAATTGGACCATAGTTTTTGAATACTGGAAGTATATTTCTCAGATTCTTTCTGTTATTTACAATCAAACAGCGACGGACAGGATAGTTGCTTATGTTTTCTCTTTTATGTTGTTTTTGGAGGGTCTTTTTTCAGATCTATATATGATTTATATATGATATATTTCTACTGTACAGACAGGCAGATAGAAAGAATCCTAAGAACACAGTTAATAGTAAAAGGTAGTAAAAAAATAGAAAATGCCAAGTTTAAACATTTTTCACCTTTGTTTTTAATATCATGTATTTAATTTGAAGTTTATATAAATTAAATTTTAATGATAGTCATGCTTAACAAGCAGACTGCAGAATTCCTAGAAGTGTAACAGTAGACTTTTGTGAGCCCTTATGAGTCAGCTCCAGTATGCCAGTGCTACGTCAGATGGAAATAAGTGCCTGGAGAACAGTAAACAGGGTCAAGGCGATAGGGAGGGCAGGGGTAGAGAGTTTGGTATATTAAAAAGGTGGTTTAGGAAAGATTCATGAACAGGATGAGATTTGAGCAGACACATGAGAGAGAAGGGAGAGAGGAGAATGAATGGTGGTGGGAGAAGATGAGGCAGAGAGGGAGTTGTGGTGGGTTAGGCAGATCACAGCAGGCTTTGAAGGGCGCTGGCTGCCCTGAATCTCTGGTGCCCAGCGGGCTGCATCAGAATGGTATGAAGAGCTTGTGAAAAACATCTTTGTGGGCACCACCCCATTCAGCAGGCCAGTCAGATACCCAATCAAGTGTGGGACCCACTCCACACCATTCCACTTCCAGCAGTGAGAGATGTGCATTCACAGAGTGTGCTTAGCTCTGAATAGAGGGGTGAGGGGCCAACCCTAGGCTGTGGGACAGCTTCTCACATATAAATATCCTTTCCTGTCGGATCCATTCTTATTAGGGTGAAGGTTAGGTAGGGGGTTAAACTGCTGCTGTGGCCTAGAAGAAAGCAATGTGGTGATTTGGCAAGGAAGACACAGAGGGTACTCCCTCTCTCCCTCCTGTCTACCCCGATACTCCTTGGCTGCTTTTCCTGCTCAGACATCCCTCTCCTTGCACATACTTTCAGCTCTGATCAACTAGACTTCACTGAACAATGGCTGCTCTGAGACCCTGGCACCCTGCATCAGAATCACCTATACCTGCCACTCAGCCCCCAAGCTCCGAGGGCTGGGGAATCACTGTGTGCTAGGCACTGAGGGACAGCAACATTATAGACAGAGCATGCCTCTAGGTTTACAGGCCAAGGGGAGAGGTACTTCTAGAATGTAGACTCCTCAAGGCCAGGGATATGTATCTGTTTTATTCATTAATAAGCCTCCATATCCTGGAACATTGCCTGGGTGCCCAGAAAGGATTTTTGGGTTTTTTTATTTGTTTGTTTTTTGAGAGGGAATTTCACTCTTGTTGCTCTGACTGGAGTGCAATGACGCAATCTCGGCTCACCACAACCTCCGCCTCCTGGGTTCAAGCGATTCTCCTGCCCCAGCCTCCCGAGTAGCTGCCCAGCTAATTTTGTATTTTTAGTAGAGACAGGGTTTCTCCATGTTGGTTAGGCTGGTCTTGAACTCCCGACCTCAGGTGATCCGCCTGCCTTGGCCTCCCAAAGTGCTGAGATTACAGGCGTGAGCCACTGTGCCTGGCTCCAAAAAGTATTTTTTTAAAAAAATGAAATAAATAGTGTTATCTATGATATGGGTAATACTGAGGGTTGTGGAGGCACAGAAGAGGAGCCCCCCAACCCAGTGTGAGGATGTCAGGGACTCTTTCTAGAGATGGTGATGAGGAATGAAGGATGAGTAAACGTTGGCCAGGCAAAGGGGTATGGGGAGTGGGGAGGTGGGCAGAGCATCCTCAAAAGAGGGAATTTAAAAAATATGAGTGTGGAATGGAATTATGAACAGTTGTATGTTGCTGGAATAGAAAGTAGGGTCCAATAGTGGCAGGGGCTAAAACCA